TTACGAGTTGAGCAATTTTTAGTTTGATCGAATTTCGTAGGAGTTCGACTAGAAGGTGGTATGGGAATCATACGGGTGATTTCTAGGGTTGGACTGAACACTTGTAACACATCAGTAGCTCTGTACGGTGTTAAAAATGTTGTACAGCTTTAACCATGCAAAAAACGGCACAGCACTATTCAGATCGTTGCCGCGATCCTTGGCATTTCCCTTTAACAGGCTGCAGTATATATGCGTAATACACCACTCATAAGGTTACTGAATATTCTTCGACAGTCCACGACCGGTTTCGCCCTTCTTGGGGCTCAGCAGGTAGGCGCAGTCTCCGAGTTTCCGTCAACCTTATGTTCTACTTGAACCCAAGAAGGGCAAAACCGGTCGTGGACTGTCGAAGAATTTCAAGCAACCTTACGTACATACATGTACCGCAATATCTTGAATATCATACCAACTAAAACATGAGATGGCCTGGTGCAGCACATTCGGTTGCTTGAAAACATCATAAACGAGAGATTCAGCTGGGTTTCAGGTGAGTCTCCCATTAAGCCAAGTTTGTTTGCAAATAAGTGTATTTCGCTAGGGTGCAGAATAATTTGGAGATTTGATTTGTTAAAGGCTGCCCACTTCCTGTGAAATTAAACATTTCCCAAATAACTTCGCTCGTTTGATGGAATGTGCTGTTGGTCAATGTTGGCTGCTACTTGCAGCAGAGTTCATCTCACATTTAAGATGTTGTCACTCGGTGGGACCGTTGGCCGGCGGGAAACAGCGTACTGCCCTCACGTTGTGGACGACGACTGAATAGATAAGTGTTGTTGACTGTGCGGACTACCTAAAAAACACAACAGGAAACAAATTTCGGCTGCATCACACGGACAGCCCTTTTTGGGACACGGCGCGAGTTATGTACAGAGTACAGCGACAACCGAGGTGTGACGTACGTGCCGTAGATCCCGCGGCAGCGAAATGCTTTTTATTGTCGCTGGTAGAGGCGTTATATTTGATGCTGTGAACCGAATCGTTGGCTTTTATGTTTGGTGGGTTTCGCTCGTTGGCATTACTACCCTTTTAAGAAAGAAGCATTCAGCTGTAGCACCCTTCCGGTGCCTAACTGCCATGCCACCCGAAGGAAGCATGAGGGCTAGGATACTGCCAGGTTGCCCAAGCCTAGACAGGGGAAGTCGAGTGGCGGAGGTCGGATTCGAACCACGAACCTTCCGGTCAGTAAATTCGCGCTCTAACCACTTGGGCCATCTCGCCCCTTACTACCCTTTTGTGATATAAGGAAACCCTACCTCATCGGTCGACAAAGATGCTGATAGAGTTTAGGAGACCATAAATGAGCTGTACATTTTTTCGGTCTCAGTGGACCTGTTCCGTAATTAAAATGGTCCAGCGCGCATTTGCTTGAGTCCAAAGTTCCCAACCTTCAGTTCGTGGAGATTTTTTCGAAGGGTTCCCAAAAGTAGTTACAAAGAATAAAATACACTCAGTTGGATACCAATTTAGTCATCCCTCCTTTATGGTGTTTTCTTCGGTGGATTTACGAATGGGTAGTATTTAGGCAGACTGTGCTCAAGCACCAAAGTGTGGTGTTGGTTTGAGCATTCTCCCTGTCTCTGTGTATCTGTTTTCATATGTTCATACCTCGAAGTTCAGAGTCTTATCAGCGGAATATGGGTAGGGTACTTCCTCCGGACTGTGCTGTGTTCGTTTCCGGACATTTTAACCCGGCTACAAAGATTGCGAAAAACCATTTCGGTTCCCAGTTTCAAGGGCGAATGTGACAGTAAAGTCTGGAAAAGCAATTTGTGTCAGACACGGAACTGTTAAATGGGTGAGAGTTTAGTACGATCAAATACTCTCCTACTGAGAAGGATAAACATTCACCCTCATCTCTTAACCATATTCCTTCCACGAAACTACTTTCGGCTATTTGGTGGAAGGTCAGTGACATCAACTTATTCGGTGGGAACTCTGATGTGACAGCGCCAAACCACGTGGGGAATGGGCGATATCATACTCAAGTGCGTGACCGATTTAATCGTTGGTGCTCGTATCATGATCTATCAAGGTCAGGTATAAGTCCCACTATAAAGTTATAACATCATCCCGTTTTCCAGTAGTAGTTCTCGTGTGAGAGTTGCCTACGGTCCCAAACTTGATGAAGACTACGACCTTCTGTGAAAATTTCGACTTCCCAGCCCAGCAGCAAACAGAACACAAAAGTACAGCTTCTGAATTCTAGGACCAGGTCTGTCTTCCAAGCTATTTGCATGTGACTATTCAATTTTCTTGTCGTTCACCGAAAACAGCGGCGATAAGTTGGTTTTTTCTTTTGATCACTTCAAGGTATTGGGGTAATCGGCTTGCAGTCCGAATATCAGACACACTGAGCCTGCCAAGCGTACTGGAGTCTATGAGTCGAGGAACGAGTTGTTGAATGGCTTTAAACGGGAGAAACTTCGGTCACGGTGCTAAGTGTTGTATAGGAGTTTTGAGATGAAATTGTCTGAGCACAGCGTCCCAACTGGGTTATAACCCAATGCGGTCCTATATTTCTCTTGCGATTTGTCAAATCCTTCCTTACGTAAATCGTATGATACGTAAATCGAATGATATCCACTGAACATATGAATGTGTTTTCTGGTGGCATTCATCACCCACCGGCCGAAAATTGCGCAAATTAGTTAACTAGGAGTCGAAATTTCATTGCTGTTTTTAGTTTTGCTGCAGAGTGTAGTCACATTCGATAAGAAAGCGGACTGAGTGCAGAGCATGGGAAGCCATTTCTCAGTAGTAGTCAGTGGAAGGCTGTCCGACCGTTCCAGAGTCGCCAAGTTCCTTAAAATATAATTTTTGTAAGTTTAACATGAATAGTGTCAATCTGGGCCTTCACATTCTTCCACGTTTTTCCACTTAGAATGTGTTTGAGGCGCGAATTAGCCTAGTCACAAGGTTCTGTCAAGGTACATCGCGACGCAACGTAGTACGCAGTTTTTTCATAAGGGAAACTACTCAAAGGGTTGCTGAAAACTCTTCGACAGCCCACGACCGGTTTCGCCCTTCATAAACGAGAGATTCAGTTGAGTCTTTCGTGAGAGCCAAATTGATTTGAAAGTGCGGTTTGTTCAATCACCGAACGCTTGCAGATTGACTTTCTTTGGATTGCTGCTGACACTGTTTATATGAAGACTGACAAAAAACCGCCCCAAAGTGCAGGCTGAATAAGTCAGTTTTTTCTGATTTCTGGTGAAACGCTCGGTGAGCTCGTTCGATGAAACAGAGATGCTTCTCGCTAACAGACATGCATATTTCAAACGGAAACAAGGGGCAATAAATCGGACAGATTAGTTGTCGATTAACCTGCTTCATCCCAAGGATTATAACAAAGTCGGTTTGATGACGGGTAATCCCGTCACCTTCCAGAAGAAGGGTATCGTGTAGAAGGAGAAAGGTCGAGTCAGTTCAAAAGTGTTACCCAGAAATGGAGAAGGACTGAAGGTATGTGACTTTGATAATAATAACATCAATAATAGTAATAATAAGTATCTGTTCAGTCGTGACATCCCTTCAGTACCTAGCTGTCATGCCACCCGAGCGAAGCAGGCGGGTCGTGGTACTACCAGACTACCCAAGCCTACATAGGAGCAGTCGGGGTTTGGTTTTGAACTACGGACCTTCCGGTTTCCACCTTAACTATTGAGCTACGTTTAATTTCTATGGACACAAAATTAACGATGGCCCGTCCTAAATTGAGTTATACATGTGTGGTAGTCCGTGATAAGCGTGAATATGAACAACATTATCAAAAATCAGGAACGGTGTACTTTTTACCGTTCCATTTCGTTTACTGCCCTAAACCGGTTGTGACTATCGTCCGATTAACACAGGCGCGTCCGTAAGAAGGATTTGGTTTAGTCATAGTTGGTTAGTAAACTGACGCGACAAGTTCAAGACCTTTTTCTAAGCGAATTTCATTTTTGGCTTTCTAGTTCGATAATGCCGATTAAACCAATCACTAGTGTCAACTTGGTATGGTGGTGAGTAGCCTGTCGTTATTTCATTTTGGTCGCTCCTGTTCAAAGGGAAAGCCCTCTGATCTACGTGAAATCGATTGCTCACTGCAAACCGTATGGCAACCACTGAAGGTCGATAGTCTCAGGCCTATTTTCTGTACTGATTCACGTGACTGGACTACTCATAATCAATATGTTCGATGTTCAAAATCCCAAAAGGTTTGTTCTTGGGAGCGAGGAAGAGGCCAGGTCGGGCGACTTCAAGATTCTTTATTAAGCAGACTCTGTTAGAGTGTTGGCAACGGCTTCGTTTTGATTTAAGCGCTTGAAACTATGATTAAGACTAACGTCTCCGCCGTCCAGTCAATCGCTTTATTTCAGGATGCACCGCTGGCTAAACTCACCACTGTCCTGTGGCGAGGACAACTGCGGCCAAAGATCAAACACCGGAGAAAATGCTCTCCCCGGACTCAGCTGGCGCCACCGCCACCTTGCCAAGGAAATGGCTTTTGTGAGTATGTCCGCTCAAATGGACAAGGTATCAAGCGACATTCTCACTTGATGTTGGCGCGGCGTGTGGATATGTACGCGGTGAACCTGCGTATGAACGTACTTGGCGCACGCATGCTCCGTGATTTATCTGTTGCACCGTTGAGAGTCACGCATTCACTTACTATCGCGCAGGCGCACTAAAACGGGCGCGCGCGGACGTATTGTGGTGCGCCACGCGCTACACACGTGTTTTCAACTCTGTGTGTCTATCCCACCATCGGCGCGTTTGGCGTCAGGTCACACGTGGCTGGTTGGTTGGCCTCGGGAGCGCTAGATTTAAAAAGCTGTTCCAGTGGTCAGGCGAATAAGAAACTGGAGACAGGGTTTGTTTGGTCTGTTGAGAGGCAACACGGAGAGAATATTGTATCAGTCAAACACCGAAGTGCAGGATGCACCTATCGACACCTGTGACCTCACCGCTTCCGTCAGCTCCTCCTAGGATTGAAAACGAAACGAAAACGGTCAACCTAACAACACTGACACCACTTGAAACTCAGCAACCTGCGGATGACATCTGGATGGATGGTTGGCCAAAAAAACTAACGATAAACGGAAGCTCTTTCTATCCACCAGTTCAAACAGCTTTTCATATAGGTGAGTTCTACTGAATTTGCATGCTTTCCATTTGTTCGAATGAACTGAAAGTTTCGACTGAATTTCGCGGAGTTGAAAGGGCAGGCTTCAAGTAGTGTTATGTCACGGGGTTGTCATGATATCACGTGCTTGGGTTCATATCAAACTAAACCATAGTATGTATCTCCGCGTGGGTATACTGTTCGCAAGAAATGTGTATAGACCGTCCCTACTGGTTACTGTATGAGAGTTGGCTCATGCCCCTATGTGGATTTGCTAATTTATTGGATCCTTTTGCTTAGTTGATTGCCCCTGCGGGCCTCCTGTGGTCTTGCCAAGAACGATTAGCCTTGAAGCAAAACAGGATGTGGTCGGACCTTGCAGCCCACACCCTTACACGTTTTCTCGTCGTACACGTATCGTAGCAAAACACCTAATAGGAACGGTGTACAGCAGAACAGGTCCCGTCGAATCGATCACTCCAAAAATGCACTAAGAACACGTTAACTAAGTAGTATAAGGGGGTTCTACTCCATCCCCAGACACGAACGGTGTCATCCCAAATTTCTGAGTCTCTAAAACGTTCAGGCTACTTGAGAGACAGCTTCAACTCCAGGGTTTCAGCTGTTGGAAGATACAGTCTTCATTTGGTCTGTTAGTGCTCTTTACGGCTCGGATATCCCAAAACGCAGGTTACCCTGAATCAATAAGTAGCCCAGAGGAAGAATACATACACTGAGTGTGTGAAACTTCTTTCCGAGAAGGCTTCACTCGAGGAACCAATTAGTACTTGACCACGTGACGTGGTTTCCGTTATTGAAGGATGAGTGGTGCTATGTCCGGTCTAAGTGAGAGTTAATCACACTGCTGATCGGTCGCTTGCAGCCAAACGGTTCAACCACCGGACAGAAGGCTGCGGTCTCGAAACTCTGAGTTTTATGGGATGCTCACTGCTGATGGTTATCAACAAGGATGAAGCAGCTGTGTAGGAGTTCTTGGCTTTTCAAAATAGGCTGACTTCACTGGCAGAATGAAAGTTCCATTGAAGGTCACATTCACATCACCATTTTACGTGCTACGTCTTAATAGAGAAATCTGAATTTGGCTGCTTGCTTAATATCTTCACAAAAACTCAAGGATAAAGGTCCATTCAATCATATAATCGATGGAACAATAAAAAAACAGTCACCCATTTCTCTTTGGTAAAAGACTAGATCTGGTCTAGAAATCGTGCTGAAGCTTGAGGCAATTCGGACAACACAGGTTTTACCTAGGCATCACTGCACTATCGTGTGAAACGGCCACATAAGAAAACCGGTCGGGGTCGACGCTTTTTAGAGGCTCTGACGAGGAGTGCCAGAATGAACGTCACAAATAGCTTTTCAAAACAGGTTGCGACTTCAGTAAGTAGGCTAGTTTATCTGCGTCTCATTTGTGAGTCAGTGATGGCTTAGTGGTTAAGGCCCGAAATTATTGAACGGAATGTATGTGGTTGGAATCCAACCCCAGCATCCCGATTTTTCCTGTCTAGCCCAAGGCAGTCTGGTACCTTCATGCCTTTTTCGAGTTGCGTGGCAGCTCGGCACCTAAAGAGTGTCACAGCTGAAAGGTTTCGTTATCATCTTTGGTTGGAGAGGAGAATCGATTTTTTGTGCCAACTTATCCTGCTGTAGAAGTCTCTACTGGGTGTGTACTAGGGGTTTCGTTTTCATTCTTGAGAGAAGCCGCACGTATGTTTATGATCTACGAGTATTTGTGTAGCCTGGTAGCGCACAGAAGTAATGACAGAACCCAAAATTCGAGATCGTTTTCATTTATCTGAACTCTACCCCAGAAGTAACACACTACTCATAAGGTTTCTGAGAACTCTTCGCCAGCGCAGGATTGATTTAACCCTTCTTGGGTTCTATCAGGTTGGCGCAGCTTTAGAGTTTCCTTTGTGCTTCATGGGGCGTTTTGTAGTTGCCTAGCCGCCCGAATTAGTCAGTAGCAGTTTCAAAAGTGAATTCTATTATTGTTAGAAAACCACCGAGTAGTTATTTGCAAGCTAGCGTCAATAACCCAATTTTTATGAATACTTGTTTAAAACCATTTAGAGGCACTTCATCTACGATTTTATTCTTAACGTCGATAGTTTCGCCACAATACTGTGATAAGTTCTGGCACTAAAAAACTGTTTATCTAATGTAAGATTGTGTCTGGGGTCTCGAACCTTCGTTCTGTTTGAACTTCACTACAAACAGGTTTTCGTGTACGCCAACGACAGTTAGTTGGCCCGCATTCCAAGGTGTTTTTGGGGTGTCTTGGGCCGCATGTTAAAGAAGTGGTCAAAATCGAAAAAACGTTGACTTAGACAGCCATCATCTGCCACTGAAGCGCGGCTCAACTTGTCCCTGTGAGAGGTATTTTTAATCTAGTTTTCCTCAAAGCAGTATCCAAGTTCAGCGTTTCCGGCCCAACTCTTGCTCGAGCAACCTACTAATCTGACTGTTGGGCTTTTGGACCATAATCGAGACCCTGTTTCCTCTTGGTGATGTTCCTACCTATCCGTAACAATCATAGAAACAGCCCGGACGCATTCTCATTACTGGATGTATTTCCTCAAAATCCGACCAGAGTATCATGGTGGACTGGGTGTTTTTATTATCATTATAAATAGCTCCTTGGAACCCCTTCACACAAATCATACTAATGAACCCCAGAAAAGACTGGGGTGCTGCACGGCTCAGTCTAACCAGATCAGATTACCTTCAGGGTGATATAAACTGATGGGATACGAACACCATGCGAACGATATTCAAACGGCGCCATCACACCATGCGGATCAGCTTTTGTTCCTTGTGATGAAGAACAAAAGCTAGCCATTCGGTTCCGCATTACGACTGCTGTGTACGGATTCGGGACTGGCTGCTCTACCTTGGTAAGCTGTTTGAGTACGTGTTGATCATGTACAGCAATTTAGCAACGGTAGCCCTGACGTAAACACAACAAGGGCGTCGTTCAGCAATTGCTTTTTGAACCAAACATAATGAAGCACAACAGGATCGACGCTTTTATCCAAGAATCGGCTGGCGACCTACGGAAAATGAAGAAGGCACGATATCGCATTGCACGGCACGGATAAAAGACAAACGATGGTCAGATAACGATGGGTCGTCGTCCGACTTGCTACAATGTTCGGCGGCAAAGCACACCTATGTGACTATAAAAAATACAATGGCGGTGATTACAGGAACACGCGTGCGCACTTGTCTGTGAATGGATTTGTCTGTGACTACAGCGTGTTGTGTTGTGCACACTTTTGAAATCGCCGAGACACGACAGGACACGACGCGACGAGATGAATAAATTATAAATTGAATGAGCCTGTCCTCCTCAGGGTTGCCGAGATAATGAATTCGTCCGTGTTCCTCATTGTGATTATGGTCTATGTACGTAGCCCAGTTTCCAGCCATCGGATGGTTCTGTGTCTGGGAAACGGATTCACTGTTTTGTTTTACGATGAAAGAGTTGAAAGGTTTCTGCCAAAGTCCACATATATGTGCAGTTCTTTGAATAGTGTAGCGCGGTCTATGGTCCCTGGTTCTGAAGTACCGCCGTTGAATACCTGAGGAGATAAACTCCTAATTACACGAAGCCGACAAGTGAAATCTTGATAGTGCTTCAATTTAGTAACCAGTTCCTTCGTAACGTTGGGCCGAACATTTTAAAGATAAGGTACTTTTACTCAAAATCATAATACCAATAAACTGTGCATTTCTAGTCGAAAAAATGCATTTATTCATACCCCACAGGCCAGTGAGTACTGTGTAACCAGTTCATCCTTGTTGGAAGTCATCAGCGGTAGCATTTTCCCGGGTGCTGTCCAAACCTCCCAGTTAAAAGTTTGGAGTTTTGACTAATCCACCACGGTCTGGATTATCAGTCACTCGCACTCAGACAGGTCACTATACCAGTTATTTTCCAGCCACGTAGTTCATATCGTTTGAGTTGATCTCGCCTGGCCGTTTGGATGACTCGGGCTTCGGGTACGCGTAACTCAACGCCTCCCCGTTTAATACAGACGTGTAAAGTGAGCCGAGCTGTTACAAAGCATCTGACAAGCAAACGTGAGGGATTGTGAGCTGTGCCCAGTAAAGTAGTAAAACCTCTTGGTACGTACGTGAGTCAGAGTTGAGGTTCGAGAAGTTTCTGTTTGTAAGTTCGTGTACGGTGCTTCTCAAAGCCATGTTGGATCTGGCCAAAATAACCAGACACTTGTTGGTAGTGTGAGGAGATTTGGGATTTTTGTGGAGATTTCGTCTGAGAAGCACTGTGCCTCTCGGCTTTTCAGCATAGATTGGCTTCACTTACAGGACGAAATCTCCACAAACATAACCAGACACGTATGGATTAGTAATGCGTGATGAGAGTGCAGTAAAATAACGAAATGACCGGCTACGTACCACCCGAATTGTGGGACAGTGTTTTAAGCGAATATGATTAGACTTATACGCTCATCTGCGTACCAATTCGGTTTTGACAGAAGATTCGGCTGGAACCCAGCTGAATCCCTCGTTTATGATGCTCTTGTTCAATTGAATGGGCTGTACAAGAGTTCCCACCAACCTTATGAGTAGTGTACTGCGTCTGAGAATATGACTAGGTTGCAAATGCGATGCTTGATCTCTTTATCCGCCAATACGTGACAGATTTACTTACGGTATTGTATGATTTCCAGGGTGAACCCATATAATATTCCCATAAGAGTCATAAGCTGTGTAAGGTTATCTATCTGTACGTGAAACTAACCAACGGTATCAATTTCTCGCAGTTTCTCTGATTGACGAGGTCGACCTGAGGCAAGGAAAGGTTCATGCATTGAACAACGAGTAGTGCGATGCATTTTTTATACATTTCACAGACTTCGAACCCACAAAAACACTAGTCAGTTGCTTCGTTCAGAAAAGTTGCGGAAATAATCGTAGAAATCAGTGCTGAGCGATTTTTCACCTTGCACACAAATACTTGGTCAAGTTGTG